CCCCCCCCGCACACCGGCAGGGCCCAACCCCACGCCCGTCCCCTCCCGGACCCCACACGCCCCCCCCGGCCCTCTCGTCCCGTTCTCCGTCGCTCACCAGGCTGCCGTAGGCCATCACCAGCACCACGTTAACCCCGGACAGCCAGTTGCTGCCGGCCCCCGCCATCCCCGGCCCGCCGCGGGGCCGCACAACATGGCGCCCTCCGAAGCCGCCCCGCGCCCCCGTCACGTGACGCGGAAGCGCGACGCCGGGCGAGAAGGAAACCGAGCCGATCGCCCTCCCCCACGTGACTCCGCGCGCCGCGTCACCTTCGCGTGCCGCGTCACGTGGGAGCGAAGCCGGCCCGGCCCCGCCCCCTCCCGCGTCACGTGATGGGGGCGGGCGCCGCTGGGCAGTGTCAGTGTGGTGGAGACTCAGGTAAAGTTGGTGCGCGGCGGCGGTGGCTCTGCTCCTTCCGCGCGGCCCCGCCGACCCCGCCCCGCCGCCTTTATTCCTCTTCCTCCCTTCGCGCTCCACTCGGCTCCGCTCTTCCCGGCCCGGCCTCGCCGTTCCGCGGCGGTCCCTCGCTGCCCGCCGGGCCCCGCTCCCCGCCGGGCGCCGTGCGGCCTAGTGGGCCGGGCCCGGCCTCGGGCTGGCGTAGCGCGCGGCCGCCGCAGGTGAGGGAGGGCGGGCGTGCGGGCGGGGGCGGCCGCGTCGGGCGGGGAATGGCGGCCGCGGCCATGAGGGCGGAAGCGGCCCGGCCTGGCGCCGCGCTGCCGGGGGGAGGCGGAGGGGCCCGGGCCCGGCCCTCCCCGCGGGGCCGCCCCCATTGTGCGCCGCGGGTCCCTCCGAGGCCGGGACCGGGCGGATCCCCGGGGCCGCGGAGCACAAAGGGCCGGGAGGCGCCGCCCCGCCGTGCGAGCGCGGGCTGAGCCCGGGGCTGGGCGCTGCGGGCTTTCCCGTCCGGCCGCGGGGCTCCGCACGCACGCGGGGTTCGCTCCGCGGATCCGAGCCGCGCGTGCCGCGCTGCGGTGCTCGCCGCCGTAGGGAGATTTCCTCGCGCGTTCGCCCTTTTTTTCCTTTGGAACTTTGGAGCCTTTTTGCCGTGCTAGCAGAGCTTTGCAGGAGGGGTGTGGAAGTGCCGCTTTTCCACCCTAGCAGATAAGGGAAACCGAGGCTGGGCCGCGCTGGGGCTCGCCTGGCATCATCCGGGAGCAGCGGCCGTGAGCACAGAGCCCCGTTCTGCCTTGTAACTCCCCTGAATTCCCAATAAAGTGAACCGTTGCGCTCTGTCTCTGTATCACCTCTCTTTTTAGAGGCTCCGTGCAGCCCGGGGCTCGGCTCTGTGGGACGCGGTTTGATGGGGAAGGCGATGCATTGCAGCCCCTTTAATGCAGGATCCCGTAACCCGGAGCTGCAGCCCTTCGATCCCATCCCCTTGTCTTGAAGGTTTCCCATTTGAGCGCCGTTTCTCTGGGCTTTGCTGGGGAGTTTGCTTTGTTTGGCCGCCGTCGCCGTTTTTATTGCAGCTGCACGCGTGTGGTTTTGTTTTCCTTCTTAAAGCAAAACAAAAGGAGATGGAAGGTTTGATAAATCCACCCCGAACCCGTTGTGAAGCGCATCGTTACACGCGTGGGGACGGTTTGGGTGCTGGGATAGGGAATGTTGGCATTGAAACGTTGCCCCTGAGCTGTGCTGCAGTTACAGGCGGAGGAGTGGCGTTGGAGCAGAGCTCACCTGACGCTTTCTGCGGGACGGTGCTGCTGGTAGAACCACTTCTTTGATGGTGTTTTTTTTGCCCGTAAAGAATGATTGAACGGTCCTGGAAACGCAGCGGGGCTGAGCAGAGCGCGGCGGCTGCCAAACTCTGCCCAAAGCTGGGGGGCAGAGCGCTGCCGGAGCCCATGGGAACCGCAGGTTAAGTGAGCACAGCGTCGCTTCCCGGGGGCTGCGGTGCCGCTGTGTTGGTGCGACACGACGACGTGGTTGTGTGTGAGATCTTAGGATGGGAAGAGATGAAGCGTTGGGAGTGGAAACCGAGCCCAGCAGGGAGGGAGCGCGGCGTGGCTGCTGTGTGGTGCCCCTGAATTGCAGTGCCCCCAAATTGCGGCTCTGCAGCGCCGTGACGCCGGAGCTCCGTCAGCACAGAACTCCCCTTAAGTTGCCATGAGGGATCGGTCGCCCCAAGGGTGACTTTTTACAGCTGCTGAGGGTCTCTTCTCGTGGGCAGCACGGCGCCGCTGCTGTTGGGGTTGGAATCTTCCCACATCAGGCTGCTGATCCTCGCCGAGGTTCTTCCACGGCCTTTGAGCTCCAGCGCTTCCGCAGCCGCCTTCCTCGCTGTTGTCCCACGTTGGCGTCGAGTTCTTTCCATTTTTTGGTAGCTTTTAAATCTAGAATGCTCGATAGGACAAAACAGACCATTCTGAGATCTGCAGGGCAGTTGAAATAAGGGAAAAAGATGCCGTTGTTTCTACGTGGGTGATGCGTTCAAGGGAGAAATGCCCCACAGCAGTGAAGGGTGCTGCTCCCCTGTGGTCTGAAGGCACAAAAGGAGAAGAGCTGGGAGCTTTTGGAGGCTCTGGGGCGGCCCGCTCTGCTGCTGTAGGGCTTCGTGAAGCACCGCGTGCTTTTGGGGTGGTTCTGTGCCAGGTCAGCCCCCCGGGGGGGCATTTCCCTCTGGGACGCAGCGTGGGGTCGGGGATGTGGGTCCATGCTGGTGTTTCTCACTCCGTGTCGGTGCCGCCGTGCGTTTCCAGTTTCTAACAGCCTGTTCTCTCTTCTCCCCCCCCTCCCTGCCCCACCGCAGACTTCTACCTTGTAAATACTGTTATTTGTATATACTGTAAATGATGACATCGGTGGGCACTAACCGAGCCCGGGGGAGCTGGGAGCAGACACAGACACAGAGCCAGACACAGCACAAGCAGCGGCCGCAGGTAAGGGCAGCGTCCTGGGCAACCAGCTGGGTGCAGGTGGAGCCCTGGCGCGGGAGCTGGGCTGTCCTGCGGTGCCGCTGCACCCCGCGTGCTTCCGGCCCATCGCCTCCTCTTGGCTTTTCACAACCAGCCCTGAGCTGCCTGCGGTTTGGCTCCGCGTTCTGGTGGTACTGAGGCCGCCGTAGGTGACGCGGGACGCCTGGCGGTGCTCCTCGCTTTCCCTGCCTCGCTCCCCCTTTGCCTGCTTTGCTTTCCTCCTCCCAAAGCCACATTTCGTACCTCTTTTCGTAGCGTCTGCTCCTTCTGGAAGCAGCCTGGCCTCCGGGAGCCGAGCTGAGGAGCTGCATGCTAACCGTGCTCTCTTTTGGTGCCTCGTCTCTTTAGGCCACCGCGGAACAGATTCGACTTGCACAGATGATTTCGGACCACAACGACGCTGACTTTGAGGAGAAGGTGAAACAAGTGAGTGCGAGAGGGGAGGGTGGTGGCAGAGGGGATGTGCTGTGCTGCTTGTGCCCCATGCTGCTGTCCTGGGCCGGCTGACTGCAGCCCCAGAGCAGAAGGAGCAGCAGCATCCCAAGCCGTGGAGCTCGTAGGCCACACCGTGATGGGACTCAGCAGCTCAGAAACTCACCCTCATTGCTGGGGATTTGCTGCTCGTACCACTAAGCTGGGAGGCTGGCAGGGCTGCCAAACGCTGGCATTTCTACGTGGGATTTGTGTTTTGGGGTTCGACGCGCTCGCCTCTGAGACCCACGCGGATGTCGGTGCTTTGCGGGCACGGGACGCGCTGACTTTGCTCTTGTCTTCTTTACAGCTGATTGACATCACGGGGAAGAACCAGGATGAGTGTGTGATTGCTCTGCACGACTGCAATGGGGATGTTAACAGAGCCATCAATGTGCTGCTGGAGGGCAATCCCGACACGGTAGGGTTGGGTGCTGCGAATCTGGTGAGGCCAAATTCAGCTTCACCACAGAAAAGACAGGGATCTCTTGGGAAGAGTCCAGCGGAGGGCCACAAAGATGGTGAAGGGCCTGGAGCATCTCTGCTATGGAGAAAGGCTGAGTGAACTGGGTCTGTTCAGCATGGAGAAAAGAGGACTGAGAGGGGAGCTGATCCAGGTCTATAAATATCTGAGGTGTGGGGGGCAGAATGGTGAGGATGGACTCTGTTCAGTGGGGAGTGGAGACAGGATGAGGGGAAATGGCCAGAAACTGCAGCATAGGAAGTTGTGCACCAATGTGTGCAAGAACTTCTGTACAGTGAGGTGACGGAGCACTGGAACAGGCTGCACAGGGAGGTGGGGGAGTCTATGGGTCCCAATGGGTCCCAATGTGTCTCTATGGGTCCCAATGTGTCTCTATGGGTCCCAATGGGTCTCTATGGGTCCCAATGGGTCTCTATGGGTCCCAACGTGTCTCTATGGCTCCCAATGGGTCCCAACGTGTCTCTATGGGTCCCAATGTGTCTCTATGGTCCTACTGTTCACTGCAGCAGGCTGCCCATGGAGGTGGTGGAGTCTCCTGCTCTGCAGATGTTCCAGACCTGCCTGGATGCCGAGCTGTGCGACCTGCTGTAGGGAACTGCTTTGGCAGGGGGTTGGACTCCATGAGCTCTGCAGCTCCCTTCCAACCCCTCCAATTCTGTGATGCTGTGATTTGGAGATGAAACACACCGTAAAGTCTCGAGAACGAGAGCCACGAGTTGCACGAGTAGTTTGGGAAGCCTGGTTGCCTTCTTAGGGCTGCAGAAGGCGTGAGCACGGCCAACAAGCAGCAGATGCTTCACTCCCTGCCCATCCTCAGTGGGGAGCTGTGTCTCTGGGCCCAGCAGTCACCGTTCTGGGGGTCTTCTCCCCATCTGTGTGCTGGCGTTGTTCTCTGTTGAGTTGGCCTTGGCTGCTGCCCCTCATACGGGTGCTGTTGCTTCAGGATGTCACACGTTACCCCCTTCTTCCCCTCCCTCTTTCTGAGTGCAGGTGGATGCAGAGGGCAGGGCTGCCTTCTGTTCAGCACAGCGGCCTCTGGTTGCTGGGTGCTTTGCTCCTGCTGGGTTTGCTGTAGCACACAGGAAGGTTCTTTGCCTTCAGGGAGCTCCTCCCATGGAACACTGAGCAAAGCTGCTGTTGGAAAATCCTTTCAGAAGGAGGGATGAGATGAAGCTGCTGGGGTCTGGGAGCTGCTTCTGGTCCAGGTTCAGCCGGTGTGGCGCTGATAAGGGATTTCCTGATAAGGGAACAGACTTGTTAAAGACTTAAATGCTCTCCTGCTGATGGAGGCAGCTCACCTCCTGAGCTCATAACTCCGTGTCCCCTGTTCCAAACAACGCAGAGCTGCTGTGCTCTTCCCCTGAGTTCAACTGGGCTGGAAGTGACACCACTGGAGGAACGCATTTCTGACTTACCTGAGCCACAGATAGCAGCATCAGAGGCATCAGAAGCCCTTTGGTTTGGAGGCAATTTGTGCTTCTGAGGATTTTTATCCCTGCCCCTTGCGTCCTGCCATCCCACAGCAGCTCTTTGCTTCTCCACCAGTTACGTTTTCAGGTGTTTGCCAGCGACCTGTAACTGCTTTTAATTAATCTAACAGCGTGCAGCATCAATTTAAGGACACGAGCCCATTGCAGGCTGTTGTGAAGTCAGTTCACGTGGGCAGTGGGGTGGAGGTGTGCTTTGTGCAGCTGAGCTTGGGGTGAGGTTTTCTCACCCAGAGGGCGGTGAGGCGCTGGCACAGGTTGCCCAAGGAGGCTGTGGATGCCCCAGCCCTGCAGGCATTGGAGGCCAGGCTGGATGTGGCTCTGGGCAGCCTGGGCTGCTGGTTGGAGACCTGCACACAGCAGGGTTGG